TTTGTTTTTTAGTAGCCAGAAAGCTCAGCGAACGTCTTGTCCAATTCTTCGCAAACAGTTTTGCGTTTGTCCTTCTCGTGATATAAAACGTCTGCAATGAAACAAATCAATTTGCATATTCAAAGATGCACCTATGACAATATTTTGTTTAAAATGATTTCTTTTCTTTTTTTTTTTTTTATACTTTCTTCCTTATTAATTATCCTGTTAAAAAGTAAACAAATATATTAAGCATTATTTATTTTTCATTATTTATTGTTTCACTGTTTTTGGTTACGTTTTCTTTTTTTTTTTTTAATTAAGTATAGTCAATCAATTTGAGGATTATTATTATTATTATTATTATTATTATTATTATTATTTTATAAATCGTATTATTATATGAAAAGAAAGCGTTCGTATTATGAAAAATATTATTTGTCAGAACAATGTCACAAAGCAATGCTGAAAAGTGGAAAATAATTAAAATTATTTGTAACATAATAATTATTAACTATTTATCTTTATAATAAAATAATTCAACGTTAATTTATATTGGCAACGTAAAGAAATTTTTCTATAATAAAATAAAAAAGAGAAAATAAATGAAAGTGATCATTTGATAATATAATAAATAATACTACTACTACTACTATAAATAATTTTTTTTTTTTTTTTTTTTATAGTTAAATAATCTCACATTAATTTATATTTAATTTTCATAATTTAATATATAATTATAATTTATATATAATTATATAATATTTTTTAACTATAAATTATAATTATTTATATTACTAGATATATATAATAATATAATTATAATTTATATATATATATATATATAGTAAAATAATCCGAAATTAATTTATAATTATATTAACGTAACATAATCTTTCTATACTAACAAAAAAAAAAAATTAAAAAAAAAAAAAGAATTAATAAAAGTTACATTTAGATAATATAATAATTAATATTACGAATTATAATTGTAAATTACAAATATGTTATACATTATTTGGCAACAAGTCAACAACGAGACATACTTTAATTTCATTTTATTTATTTGTTAATTCTTCAAGCACACAGTTGTATTGTCAATTTGCCAAATTATGTCACATTAACTCTCCTAAGGGGGAGGGGGGATGAGGAAAGAAGAATGAAAATGTTGAAGTAACGAGTATCTCGACAAATTTCTAAAACGTTGCCAAAAACGTTTTTCTTTTTCACACGTATGAGAAAAAAAAACGCAATGAGAAAAATCCCTTCTTCTTCTTCCAATCCTCTCCCCTCCCTCCCTCCCTCCCTCCCCCCCAACCTTCCTTGCTCCAAAAAAAAAATAAATTGTTTATTATAAATAATAATAATAATCATAATAATAATAATAATAATACCGAGTACGTTTAACTTACCCTCAAGCCTGTCAACTTCCTTCTGGAGTTTCTTAACCGTCTTCTCAGCAAATTCTGCTCGTGCTTCAGCTTCCTTTAGTTTAACAGTCAACGTTTTCAATTGGCGTTTGAATTCTTCGACTCGTTGATTAGCCTAATTGAAATGACAATAAAAAAAAATATAATTCAAAGTTTTGTTAAGGATTTGTGGGTGGGTTGGTTGATTGGTTGATTGATTTGAAACAATTTACCTTTTCTTCAGATACCTCCAATGATTTCAAACTGTTTCCGACTACTTTCAATTCTTCTTCCAATTCCATGATCTTTCTGTAATATTTTTACAAATGTTGAAAGTAAAATTTGTATTTTTATCATCAAAGATAAAAAAAAAATAAAAATTAATATTCTAAAACACATTATTGAAGTGAAAACTTCTTTAGAATAGGAAGTGATTTTAACACGTGTGATCTGTTGTACACATGATTTTTTATTTTTATTTTATATAAAATACTAAATATTATTGTAAAAATATCCATAAATTGATTACAATATGAAAGTTTAGTTTTGTATCATTTGATTTGCAAATATTTTTTAAAGTGTTTTCTTTGTGATTATTATAAAAATGTGCGCCTGTATGAATGCAACCCTTCAAAAACACTTTGAAAATGTTGCTTGCTTGCGAGCGCCACCTGTTGGGACGAAATTTTTTTCTGCCCCGAAAGATAAGCAACCCGTCATACATACGTGTATAAACAGTTTTGATTGCAAAAAAATTCCGTCCCAGTAGATGGCGCTCGCAAGCAACAATTTCAAAGTGTGTCTGGAGGGTTGCATAAGAACAGGCGCGCATTTTTATCATTAAATTAATAATTAAATAAATAATTACAAATTAAAAGTACAAATAATATTATAGTAATATTGTATAATAAATTATCCTCGAAACTTATTTATTTGAAGGTTTCACTTCTAACTTGTGTGATATGCACACATGTTTTTATTTTTTACTTTGCATCATGAAATAAAATGAAATGAGTCTGATTTGTTGATAGTTTAGTGTTAAATAATAACATTAAAATAATAAATATAAATGTGAGCTTACGCTTCGCCAGATTTGACACGATCTTCAGCAACTTCCAACTCGTCTTCAACGAAGGCCAACTTGCGTGATACTTCATCTGATTTTCCATCAGCATCCTCAGCTAATAGACGAGCTTCTTTAAGTTGATTCGTCAGCTGATCCATCCTTTCCTCATCCTGTTGGGAACGGTTCTCCAATACTTTGCACATACTGTAACAAATTGTATAATCATAAATAATAAATGATAAATTATATAATTAATATTATCATACGTTTATTATATACATATATACATTTTCATTTAGTGACCCCCCTCACCCATATTCCTCTCACTCAATTTTACTCGAGCAAATATTTTCACGTGATTGAATATAATAAATTCCATTATATAATATATTATCTATTAGTTATAATAAACTTATAAATATGTTACAGTATTGTTCAATTAAATTTAAATTAATTTTCTTTGATAGTTTTGACGTAGACAAATTTAAAAGAAATTTTGTGATTTCATATGTGGTTTTGATTAAATTTTTATACGTGTATTGGATCAAATATATTAGATTAAATATGTAATTATATATTGAAATGTATTATATTTTTTAATATTAATCGCGTTTAATATTTAATATTTTATTAAATATATTTATGAAATATCACACAAGGTGTCAATCAATTGATTATAAAATTGTTCTAATTTTTCTAATTTATATATTCTCTCTCTATAATATTTATATATATTATATATATATAATATTATATATATATATATATATATATATATAAATTCTAATTTAAGATGTTCTAAATTAATGTATTATCAAATGAATACAAATACAAAAATAAAATAAAATAAAATAAAATAAAATAAAATAAAATAAAATAAAATAAAGTAAAATAGAATAAAATAAAGTAAAATAAAATAAAATAAAATAAAATAAAATAAAATAAAATAAAATAAAATAAAATAAAAAAAATTAAAAAAAATAAAAAAAAAAATAAAATAAAATGAAATGAAATAAAATACTAATTAAATGATTAATATAAATATGTAAAATAAAAATGATAAATAACATCATAATACCGGCTAGATTCATCAGCAGCTTGAGATGCCTCAGCAAGTTTGGCAGTTGCAGTGTTTAGACGTTCTTCAGATCGTTCTAAATCCTCTTCAATCAATTGGACTTTTCTATTAAGAGCAGCGACCTCGGACTCGGCCTGAACAATGCAATAGTATGTAGTAAACCATGACATAGAAAAAAAAACAAAAAAAGGAAAAAAAAATAGTTTTAACTCGATGCTTTTTTTAAACTAAAACTACAACTACTGTTTTGTTTACGTTTAGTGTAAAGATATCGGTTGGATCGAATCCAAAATGAATTAGATCAAGGACATGAATTGTTCGAAATTCGATTTGTTGATCGATCAAACTTGATCTTTCAAAGATCTATCTATCTATATATATATATGTATATAGATAGATAGATAGATAAATAGAAAATCTTTTTTTACTTATAATTCTTTTTTTTTTTTATTATAAATATTTAATATCAGTGGTTGAATCAAAAAATTCGTATGTTTCGAAATTGATATTTCTAATTTATGCATTTATAATATAATTTATCATTATGCTTTTTAATTATAAACTATATTAATTTAATAATGAATATATAATAATTATTAATATTAATATATATATATATATTAATATTTAGTATTACTAATTATATTTAATAATAATTTTATATATATTATATATATAAATATATAATATATAAAATATTAATTTAATAGTTAATATAATAAAAATTAAATTATATAAATTATATTACTACTACAATAATTATATTATAATAATATAATTAATAATATAAAATATAGTTATATAATATAAAATAGTAATAAAATAATATAATATAAAATAATATATAAAATAATATATAAAATAATTTATAAAATAATTTTATATATATATATATATATATAATTAATATAATATATTATTTAATATATAATAATTTAATAATTATTGCATTTCATTTCTATCATTATGCAATTTAAAATATAATTTATAATACAATAAACGTACAAACTATTGATTTATACTAATATATGCATATAACATTTTAATATTTGTTCATTGACAAATTAATAAATATCATAAATATAATATATATATATATATATATGTCATATGTTATATAACTTACATTGGTAAGTGATTTTTCACGTTCCTCGAGATCCTTGTTAGCCTGTTCGAGATTTTGTTTGTTCATTTGTAAATCACTCTCAACTTGGGCGAGTTTTTTCGTAAGATCTGCAACCTCCTCGAGGACCTTGTCTGCACGCAAATTAGCTTCTTTAGCTTGACCTTCACAGGTATCAGCCTTGTCCATAGCATTGTCCTTTTCAAGCTTCATAGCTTGCATCTTCTTCTTGATCGCGTCCATGATTGCGACCTTTTTTTCTTTCCTCTACTTCCGATAATTTTTCTCACGAAACGATCGAATCTTCTGTCAATGTAAAAAGATAAAAAAAAAAAAATTTTGTAATATAAGTTTATTATTTTATTTTCTATGACAATTAGGAATGTATATTTAAAAGTATGAATGAGATTATGGTTTTTTTTTTTTTAAATAATTTGTAATATTTTTAATTAAATACAAATAAAACTAATCAACAAATAATTTATTCAATGGAAATATAGTGTAATAGTAGTTGTATGTAATATTCTTACGTAAAAGTAGATAAATGTGACATGTTAACAAATTATTTATATGATATTAATAATAAATAATTGTCAAGTTATATAAACAAATTACTCAACAAAATATACTGTAATAATAATTTTAATAAAAATTAATTAATATTAGATTGACAATTAAGTAATTGCCGATTTCACCAATCATTTTCTTTGAAAAATCCACAATTACTTAATTGTCAATTAAATAATTGCAAAATTATCCAAATTTTTAAATTGAAAAACAAATGTTAACATTTTGTTTTGTTCATTTCTCTCCTTCCTTTTTCCAAAAACTTTCAAAAGTAAATCCATTGTATTAGGTTGTTTCAGAAAGTAATTTCGTTTTATTTACTGACACAATAATAATGACATTTAGTTGATGCAAATTGGCAAATAGCAATATATGAGATCGAGAGATTAGAGGTTAAATTTATCAAATTCAATTATTTATGACTACTTGAAAGGCGTAGATTTTTAAGCCTCGAAACAAAAATTGTGTCTTCATTTTTATAAATGAAAAACGAAATTATACTTTCCGAACAATCCAATATATTGTAAGATGTGTAATTTAATATACACATTAACTATATATACATATAATTATAACTTATTTAATTAATATTATAATATAATTAATAAATATTAATTATATTATAATTAATATAATTATTAATGTGTATATATATGTATAAAGTCCTTCTACTATCAATTTTTTCCTCTCCATTTCATTCACTATTATTTTTTTTTTTTTTTTTTTTTTTTTAGTCATTTTGCAATATCGCAAAGATGTCTTTTTGATTTTTTTGTTCAATTATAAAATCAGCTGTTACGGA